TAGCGAGATATATACGATGTTCGGTAGAGAAGGATAGGTAAGGCGTAGTACAGAGCGAGCAACCCTAAGCGGTTTAGCTGGGACCCGCGGGTGTGTAGCAGGGGGTAAGATTGCACCAGAAAAGCGAAGACAGACAACGTAACGGTTTTTGGATGAAGAAACTTCTTACGCAAGAAGTGCGATAGAGAGGAAAGAGGAAGGGAGGGTTAGAGAAAGTCGCCACGACGCTACCCCTCCCGTGCCGTTTCCTAGAGCAATGCTGCACCTCCCCCAGATAGCTCTATTATGGGGCAACAAAGTATCATTTCCCTGATGATGATATTGATTTTGTTTGTGGTTATGAAGACGGTAAGTTCAGGAAACGTCTTAAGTTTAGAAAAACGACACCATCTGCAGCCTCAACCGTAGAAACACAATTTGACTCGTCTTAACGCTGTTCCTTTTTTCGAGACATCTCCTAAAATTAAGCAGGTATATGTATGTTAACTGTAATAATATGAACAAGCGAACGGCATGCCATATCAGGCCATCTGGAATTATGTCATTTCTTTTTTTAAATCGTATAACGAAATCTATGTCGATTATTGATACCTGCTGAAGCCTGTAGCAGTGGTCTTCATATATGTGGGACAATAGTACTGTGAAGTGAATCTTATGGCCTGCGCGCCTTCCACGTATGTATCCTATATTTTCGCGCGGGTCGATAGATATTCATTGTAATTGCAGTGCCGATTGCCTGTCTGGTAATCTACAAAGGAGGTTTCAAGGTATCCAACTACTGATAATCCATAGTAGATAAACGTATATGGATAAACGGTGTATGAGAGCAAAACAACGAAAACAAAATATTTCGTTACATTATTATGATATTTTAGTATTAGCTGCACTGGTTGCTGAAAAATTATTCGCACGGGACCCACGGGATCATCAGTCCGATACGGCCCCTCCGAGATTCTAGGCAAAAACTGTGTCCTACCAAAGCTACCTATATCTAGTAGCATTACGGTGCTATTCAGAAACAAAATTGAATTTGTACCATAAAGATACGTAAAAACGAATCGGTGTCAATAACCTGTTAAAATCAACGACCTAGCGCTTGAATCATAAACAATTTACATCATTCGTCTGCTAACGTTTCTCAATATAGATAGCAGAACCCAAGTGGTACCACACAAAACGAGACAGTGCACACAACCCGAAGCTAACAATAAAAAAAACGCTACGCAGACGGAAAAAGCATCACATTCAAAGCGAAGCACGTCCGAGCAGTCAGGCTAGCATTATTGTTGTTTAGATTTACCTTCACATTGTCACGATGCCATATTCCCGATAGCGTGTCGCACACTCACGTTTCTTGCGAATCCTATTATCGCTTTGGCCATGGTCTGATGTCGATTCCTTTTTTCTCTCTCTCTCCATCAGCCATCAAGTCTTATATATGTAAATGGCGTTGTCCATCTGTAGCTGTTACCGCATTGCCAGTAGAACGACTCATATAGTACCAGTCAGACATGTTACGAATTGCTAGGGACTTCGCAACTTTCTAGTTTTGTCGATCGAGGAAAAAGATGTGGCGTTGGCATCGTAAACACAAGCTTCTCCTATCCTAGCTAGCTTTGTTAAAGGGACGTGTAAACGTTTTCCGTTTGTCTAACCACGTAGCTTCCAGTGATTCAAAGGCAATTCTTGTGGACATACTGGTCGCCTGGTCGATCTGATTTAAAGGAAATACGGTTTTAGAACTTTACGACGATGAAACGTCTCGACAGGCCTGCGGGACTGCATGTCCTAACATACGATGTCTGAGTATCGGCCGCATTCGAAAAGTGCGATATCGCTTCTGTCGTATGAACGAGTGGTGTGCCCTGAAATGGACGAAATGCAACGAACGGACGCAGATGTGTCGTCCATTTGGGAGAGTGCGCGCCTAGCTACGTTTGGCTAGAGGAAATCGTCTGATCCACTTTTTCGGTTAGTGTTGCCGTTAGTAGCGGACCATTTTGCACTTGTGTCCTATCCGTACTACGATCAAGGACAAACAGACAATGCTGAAACAGCGGTCGTTCTTATAGCTGACGGCAGCAGCGGCCACCGCCGAAGCAATTCGGGGTGCTCAAAGCAAAACCAAATTGGATTGGGTAGCGCTGTTGCTGTGCAAAAAAAGAAGGCAGACGTACTTCATCTTCATACCTTTTTCAGCAGCGGACCTCCAGGCTCTATTCCCATTTATTCGTTGCGTCGGCCCCCAGTCATTTGCTATCTTGTCAATTTACGCTACAGGCCGAAGCAAATCCCGGAAAGCACCATACAGTGAGAAAAATATAAAAAGGAGGTAAAAGGAAAGAGGTCGCACGTCACTGATTTAACAATAGAACCGGCCCTCTGCAAGAAACCCTAGGGAAAGAAAGCAAAATCTGGACTTCAAAGTTAAGAACCTCCATTCTTTAAAAGTTCCGCCACCCTTACCAACTTGGACGCAGCCAAGAGAGTTGGCAAGAATGCAGTGAATGCTTTTAGGTTGGAGGTGGGCTCTTTGTTTTTGAGGGAAGGGCTAGGCAACGTTGGTCGTAATATAGTGGTCATGGTGTTGGCCATCGATCTAAAGCCCGCAACGTCAAACGATTCCTACTGGTAACGGCTGCCCGTTTCAGCCTTGGCGCAAATAGCTCTCCCTAGCTCCAAGGCATTTTTGAGAGAGAGCAGGAATTATCGGATTCGTTTAGAATTGAGCGCATTGTATAAGCCGCTCATTCGCTTTATGCTTTACCCGTCTGTAAATTACTTGGGCGGCTTCGCACGCGCGGTATGATACATAAAAAGTAACGTGTTACAAGTTACGAAAAAAAATAAAGGAGACGGCACGATAAAGGCCGTATTCAAACTGAATCGGATAAACAAATTGATGAAGCCAGCAGAGAAGATCTAGCGGTAGCCCTTTAGAGTACAGCACTACTGGAATGGAAGAATGCGAGTGGTCAAGATGGAAGACTGTGACGACTGAGTGTGGCAACCCAAAGTTCTTGTTTGTGTTTTTCGAGTGTCGTCATATTAAATCGCATCTACACAATTAAATTCGCTGTAGAACGAGGTACCGTGTCATGCCAGCGGCTAACTAGAAATTGGCCGCAAGTACTAAGTAAGCCACCAAGAGGAAATACGGTTTGCTTGTTATTCCACTACGACCGTTAGGAGTTTACTGTTTATTACCTCAGCAAGGGAGGCATAAATACATGCCACCAAGTGCCAGAGTAGTCACGAATCAAGCTTACAACGGCACGCTATGCTATCAACTGTGCGAAAGTAACACTGTATGACTCTCTACGCCGGCAGTTGTAGCAAGGTCTACAAGATGCACGTATCTTCGAGTGACCATGTACTCGAACGTACAAGGCAAAGCCCATTAAATCAACAAGCACGTCGACACGATTCAGCCGAAATGATCAACGCAACTACGACATAAAATGCGTAATGCTCAACAACAGAAGGAAAACTTTGAGAACAAAACACAGAACGAAGAATGCCTACATGTTCGCGTTCAAAGAGGACGATAAAAAAAAAAGAAGACGTTTAAAAGAACTTAAAGGTTCTGCTCTTAAAGCGTCAAAAAAGACTCCAAACAGAGATAACGTACGCTTGCACCATAAACAACAGCAAAAAATAGAGTTTTCGCGAAGTGTACTACGACCTTGTCAAAACGATAAGTACAAGTACAAAGTATGATGCGTGTATGGCGGCCGGTATACCGTCTACCCGTTTGTAGACCTTCCGGTAAATATAATTCATAATTTACTATTTACGTTTTTTTTACATAAGAAGGCGAATAAATAGACTAGTCACTCTGTTGATCGATTAATCTTCTAGGTCCTAAAGGCCACATGATATAATCCACTGAAGGTATACATGTTCCAGATGACCGATGGTAAAAATATTTACTTATTAATAAGCAGAATGTCTACTTCTGCCAACCTACTGAGACAGTAACCTCTAGTCTAGTCCAACATAAATTGTATAAGGACTTGTCTGCGTCGAAACTCGTCGATAATATATATAGTAATCAACAGTTTGGCAGATTAACAAAAGTTCGCATTCTGTGCGCCAATGTGAGGCTCTTTCTTTTCACTCTTGTCATTCATAGTAGTCGTAGTCAAACAGATACCTTGTTTAAGCAAATGCTTTGTACTAGGGCACGTTCCGTTTACCTCCGCAATTTGCTCGGTCCACAAGTTTGCCTCAAGTTTTTCCGATATATTCATTTCTAAGTACTCGGTGGCCCTAAGTAGGCTTATCATTGTAAGACGATGCGGGCGTTGCGTTTAAAAGGGTATCGTTTCTATTTGTGTTGTCAGTAAGGGACACTGTTCATACTCGAACACGCGATAGACTCAGTAATAAACAACAGGTCGTATCACTTGACTTTTCGTTCCATTCCGCGCTCCTGTTGCTAGATCCGCCTCCTTTGCTGATACAGCCCGATTTGTTTTGCCCCGACCCGGCATCTCGCAAGGAGTAACGTGGCGTGAACGTGGTCTGCGCAGGAAGTGCGCATCCATGCACCGCAGGCCACGAGATGGTCGGGCACAAAACGCGGCTATTTGCACGATCAACTTCCGGGACCAGTAGCGATTGGGGGAGCTGCAGCAAACATTGGCCGTCGGCCAGCGGTGGGGACGCCTCGCCACCGCAGTCGCATCGACAGTCTTACAAAGCTTGAATAAAGCGCTGCGAAACGTCGACCGATGCTGTCCACGAATGCATATAAAAGCAAACGGAGGAAAGCAGAGAGGGTAAATAGGCTTTAGTCTATTATTAGGAGCATTGGTTCGTTAAGGTAAGCACGTTCGCTTAGTTGAAAGTGAAGCACAACCGACCTGCAGGCAGTGCGATGCCGCGACATAGGAACGGGGTATAGAACCTCCTAGTAAAATTATATAGACTTTAAATTCTTTGTTTTTCGCCGCCGACTTGGTCCGATCTCACAGAAGTCTTAGTGAAATGTTTACCTCGGCGCAGAGGTCTGCTAAAAGGTGCGCGAACACCGAGTACGGGGTGACCCTGGAGGTGTAACATGTGAAAAGAGGACTCGCATGCCGAAACGGGTGCGCTATAACATCTGGCATTACGCTTTGTGTGAACGCAATATATCCCCTCTCCCCCTCCCCCCGCGCTGTACCGCAAAGCGACTTAGAGTAATGGTTAGCAGGTGCTACGCAATAGATGGGTTGAAAAATACGCGGTGCACAGGGCACCACGAATCTGGGTGAACGTTGCAAACGATAAGAGACCCTTTCGATGACCGAAGCCGAGTTGGCGTTTGAAGCGAAGTGAAAGACACGCTGTTGAATATGACCATATCATGGTCTCAGATTGGCTTATAGACTCCAAATAGCGATATGACAATAACAATAATTATTGTTATTTTAAGCAATAAAGCGCCAGTGTGCTACCAGTACGGTCTCAGTCAATGCAAGCATTATTGGATAACCATGCAAATACTTAGTTTACAAGTGAATATCGAAGAATCTCTCCTTTTACGGAACTCATCCGAAATGATGGGGCAAAGTTAATAATCTATGCAGGTAACTAGGCAAAGTTCACGTTTGTATTTGTCTATTGCCTACTTATCAGTTTTCCAGCGACAACAATTATCTACTTCTAATGAAAACGAGTTATTGTTTTTTTTATCTTCACGAGGATATTATGCATGAACTGCTGTTGCAATGGATTTACTTAATTTTTCTCACTTTGTAACAATCTCCGATAAACGTATAGACGCGACTTTATGGAATCTATTTGCTCCCGTTTTGTCGCTGCGATCGCAGGTATTTACTGCCGTTGTCAAGCAAAGCAACGTAAACGTATTTCCTAGGCGTCAGCGCACGTTGGACTGTGTAGGTTGCCGCTGCTGCTGCAGATTCGGTTTCTGTGGTCAAAAACCAGCAGTCAATGTGCTTAGGTGATTTCTATTACTACCTGTGAGTGTCCAATGAGAATATGTCCTGCGTTACAAGCGAACGTGACGATTTCGCCCGCGGGAAGGAAGCGTCCAGAGTAGATAACCCGTCCGTTCGGTGGCGGAAGAGGGGCCTCGCAGCGAACAACTGAAATACACAGAGAGATAGGATGAAGAGATACGTACGCATACACACAAATGGCGGACGAGGCCAATCATCAACTGCGTAATTATGATAAAAACTAACAATAATAACTATAATACGAACAATATAAACTAACAATAATAATAATATTCAATATCATTACCTTTTTCGAGGTCTTTTGCTAGTTCTTCAGCACTTTCACGGCGCATCTGTGCTTAGCAGACAAAAATATCTCCTTACATTAAATTGATGTGATCCACATGAGAAAGCAACTAATGTAAATCGAAAAAAATCCGGATCAGTTTGCCCAAACCCAGTGAGTCGTACCGCCTTAGATGCCCTTGTTGTTAGCGCGTGTAAGTCTCCAATTTCTGATCAGATACTCGGCCATTTCGAAATCACTTTGCTTTTATTCAGTTTTTATGATTCTTGCCAGATGTTCAACGCGTATCGGCGGGCTCCGGTCGATCAGGCCGTGTTGAACCGGTTACTTAGATAAGCAAAAATTATAGCCGGCAATTCTAACCCCTCGGGCTTTCTGATTTAACCTTGTCTAGCTGACAAGTAGACCCAGACCGCCTGGTCGATCCAAACGATAGACGAAAGCCAAAGTGCGTATTGAAGTAGTGTATTTGCTAGTCTTTGATGAGGTTGGCGTCTTGCCAACCAGATCTTAGGTTGATCAAGCAGTGGCGGTTTTTCGCATAACAGAAACGCGGCGGTTCACTCGAATTCTAACGACAAAATCATTTATTATGTGTTGTCTGCTACTCTCTACAACCTAATAATATGTCTCAAGCAGGTTATTTCAATCCCACCATCAGTGCGAGGTCCTGAAAATCCATCAGCGAAAGCTGGAAGAATCTATCGGCAAGAGGTTTGGAAGATGTGACGGGTTCCCAAGGCTCTCTCACTCATGATTTTGTTAATAGACTTTATTTAAACTTTATTATTTTTGTCGTTTGTATCAGACGCATTGTTGTAAAGCCGGATGCTTTTTCATTGTCTATCCGGCCTTTCCTGGGACGGAATTTAGCGGGCTGTATCCTTCCTTACCACCTCACTTTTCTTGTACATCTATTAGTGATCCTTGAAGTCGTGCCAAACGCAAATTATGGCTGTTCCCACACGGAGATCTAGCTTAACTCTGGCTTTGAGCTCATCTTTCTACACATATTTTTTCACAATTGACCTGGAGACACCGCTTCCCGTCAACCAGACCTCTGCGAAGAAATCTGCCATAGTGGGCGCGGATTGTGGTGCTCGACGTCTCGGTACCAATGGGCGAGATGTCAAGAAACGGCGAAAAGCCACTTTTTCTTGTGCTTGTTACCCAACCCTCAAGGTAGCCAGATTTCTAATTTTTGATAAATTAAACTTGAGGTGCCTGCTAAGATTCGAAAGCTCACAGCCTGTATCCTATAATATATTAGGTTATGTGCTATGTGAGCTTCTTGTTGACCTCAGATGGCAGAACCGGAACGGGGTGCATCCTCCAGGTTCAAGGAGCTATCTTTGAACTCAGCAAATCCTTTCGAGCAGTACGCTCACGTACAGATACATACCGAACGTACATCCCGCAAAAAAGACGAACGAAGGCTCAGTGTAAAAACAAATAATGAGCGTTTATTGCATTCATAAAGATGGCAATGGGTGGCTCTTCGTTTTGTGACCTTTGATTGTGCCCGTACCGTTCCTTGTGACCATAGCGCCTGTGCCTTTCCGGCGATGCAGGCTTGCACGGGCTCTCTTCAACCAGCGAGGTCTGAAAATACCGATTTTCTCGTATGCGGAATTTGACGAAGTTAAAGTTAAGTTGTTTCAAAAAAGGAATCGTTTTAGTATACAATATTTTGAGTTGATACCTTGTTCATCTCGATAAGAAAATTAAGAACCATTTTCGATTTCAAGTCAATCGCTCGGACCGACGTAAATTTTCCAGTAGTGGTAATAGTACAGCGCAGTAATGGTTACTTTGATTAGTTGTAACAAAATCTCTTATACGAAAAGCGATTAATCTAACCGTCACGTAAATTAATGAATTAACCGTCGTTTTAAATTAAAAATTATCTGTGCGTTGCTTTTACTTAACTTAAGTTTTCCCTTCATCAAATTCGTATATGAAGGCGCGAGATACCTACTACGCATTTGAACCTCGAAAGTAGCCACTTTTTGCCATTATGGGTCGAAAAGCGTTATGTATAGCTCAATTTCTAGCAATCTCTTGTACCTCGTTTGCAGCATAATCTATAATGTCTGTTCTTCTCTACCTTTTCAATAGTAAAGGACAGAAAAAATGGCTTTCTTCGCTGGAATCGATACCTCAGCTTTAGCCAATACTTGCAGCTGGTAAACATCTTGAGGGCACTTCAAAGCAAACTCTGTCCGAATTTTGGCCGTAGAACATTTGACAGTTTCGCTTTGGCTCTCTCTGTCTCCCATTTAGTTTTTCCCCTTTCCCTCTCTGCAATTTTGTCGTCTGTTCATTTTCATCCTTAAATTTCACTCTCCTTGACGTTCGCACATGAAATGGTTTCCATGGTCTGGTCGTCAGGCGTGCCGTACGCCGTTGATCTAGCCCTTGACATCTTCAAACCTAGTTGTCACCATTGAGAGGTTCGCTTGGCGAAATCCAGTAGCCCAAGCGCTCAATAGCCCATCGGTAGAGAACCCGGCATGATCAACCATTTATTGGACTGGCCCATTGACAGTGACCCATGAGTCAGCCCGGTCGGTTACAGCCACTTGCACAGTAGCAGAGGTGCCAGCAGATCGTGCGGGCATCAGGCGCGCCAACACAAAACGGCCGGAGAACCGCCCAGTCAGCCAAGCAAGTACCGTGGGAATCGCTAAAAATTTTTCCTTTCCGGCCCTCCGCTCACTCTGTTTTCTATCCTTCACCAGCCTGACTAAAATATCGCGATCAGGCCACTTGCTGCAGCTGCTGCTTTCTAAAAAACTCCATCTTGATCTTTTCCTCTCTCCCTTTTTTCTTGACCCCCTTTGACAGGCGTACTTGGGACACTCTTTTTCTTTCCCTATCTTTGGGTTGCTCGGCTGTTCTGCTTTTGCCGACTGCTAGGAAACGACACTCGCTGCTACCGGTTCGCAATAAATATGTTATGCTTTAGATGTTGTTCAACCGGGCGGAAAGTTAATCAATATGTTACGGTACAATTTAGCTTCATGGAATTTATATCCGCTAGCTGCTCGAGTGTTGGCCTGTTTGGGAGGTCGACTAAAGCTGGCTGGTCGGCCTCAACACGCGTCCATTGGCTCTCATTCAACTGCTACTGCTACTACTACATCTACAAAGAGGACAAGCGCTCATTTTAGCTTATAGTGCGCTATATAGGTATGGGCGGCAGTTAGACAGTTTTCAAGTACGACACAGACTGCGCGTGTTATGGTGTGAGAAGTAGAGGAAGCATAGTTGAAAAATCTATTATATTGTGTATTAAGCAATTCGAAATGATCCCACTATGCTGACCCATAAAAAGATTCATTGGCTATCGAGTAAGCAATGCGACAAATAATTTTTCGTTGATAAATCACCCACATATACACTTCGGCTCTGAAATAACAACGCCGCCAAAGCCTGATCATGTGGTAGACAATATGAAACACCGAAGTGAAACGTTCCAAGGGCATCGGATCGCTTAGAAGCTTGTGGAGACTTTAATTCGCCAAGTCTGATCTATTCAGGAGTAGTCAGTTGCAGTTCTGCAGGATATCGTCGAAACACTCTAAATGTAATGTTTATATATCCGTCTATAAGTACGGCAAAAATTGTCTGATTGAAGGACGGCGGTGAGATTATCCATGATTCAGAAATGTAATAAAATCCAATGACGAAACATCAATAATAATAATAATAAACTATGATTGTACCACCCGTTGGTCGTTGCTTGTATTGCCATATTTACGGTACTACTACTAGTGCGTGTAGCTGACTTTCTGTTATATGAGTTAACTAAACCAAGTGACACGAGTTTAACAATAAAATTACTTAATATAATGAACGCGAAGACAAGACTAGCCAACTAAAAAGCAAATATTGTGTATTAGAGATTGGGCAGATGTTGACGAATATCTTACCCTCGCAGTTCGGCGGCATATCGGACCAGGTCTCATTTCGAAGGCAGGTTATCGAAGAAGCCCCAACGATACGTTGGCCACCGGGACAGCTAAACACCACACGGGTACCGTACATCCGCTCCTGGGAACTCATCTCGACATAGCTACTGGCAACGATTGGCGGACACATTATTCCTGGAAGATAGGGAAAACGAATTAATAGTAGTTGAACAAAGACAGCGCAAGTGAACCTCACTGCCAATAACAATGTGGTACCACTTGACATTTTCGTGCAACTGCTTCAAAGTGACCCCTAAAACTAGAGCATACTTACTGAGTGTATCTAGTAATGACTTATTAGAAAGCTCTACACGAACTCTAAACAAAACGTTTGCCTCCGCTCGTAAGTGTCTAAACGTGATAACCGTTCTTTCGAAAGCTTCGAATATTCATAAAAAGTATCGATTTGCTCTCACGGTATCCCAACAATATCGTATGCATAGTTTTAAATAAATATATACGCCGCACAGCCCCAGCATATGCTAAGCAGGGTTTTTAGCGGTGAGAAGCCCCGTTTTTGGTGTCTTCTGCGTACCGCAGAAGCCGCTAGCATATCCTCTGTTTTCGACAAGTGCTCGATCAATTGACAATAGAGTTTCTGCATTTAGGTCAAATTCAATAAGCACAGGTGTGCGAAGCAAGCAAGTACCGACCCTCTTCGACCCACTTTAACGTGCATACATGTGGAACTCGGGGCAGGGAGCTCTGAGGTAGCTTTTAGTGTTTGCGCTGTAGCCTCGAGACGTTCGTTGAAACAGCGATGAAGGTTAGGGTAGGCAGCGCGCGATGACGAGCAGTATCCTTTAGCTACAACTCAGATCAGAGCGACCATGGAAAAGTTAATTGGTAGGGGGTAATTGAAGTTGGCAAATAAAGCAAAGCTACATTCATCAAAGCTGCTCTTGCTTGACGGCGGCAGCGACGAAGGCGACAGAAGCCGGTGGCAAGCAAAAATAGTGGAGAGGGGCAAAAAGAATTGCCAGGGTGCTAGTGTTTCCAGATTGATATAGTTAGAGTGCAAAGGAACTGTATATGTACTAAGTGTAAAAAGAGATGATGAAAAAGAGATGATGTTAATCAAACGTTCACTAAAATCACCATAAAAGCTCAGGATCAAGCTGAGTAGATTTTTCTAGTGTGCTGACGGAAAAGCAAGCTGTTGGAAGGATGGATTCTAGGAATAAAAAAGCGGGTTGTGCAGTAGCTGGTGCACTATAAGGCATCCGCTATTCCAGGAGCTACTGCCCACCCCTTCTTTTTTCAAAAAATAGCCGAGAGAACCGATGCTACCACCTTGACCAGTGATCGTACGCATGGTCCATTAAGGCTTGATCAAGCTAAGCTGGACTGAGTTAAACCGGCCTTCTCACTCTTCCTTCGGTGTTTTGCCATTTTCCTGACCGCTTTTTACATGAACGCTAACTATCGCGGCTATGCGCTACGGCATATGTAGTATACCTGGCGTCTATACTCTGACGTCTCTATTTGTCCCTACCGGGATCGTTTACACCCTCGCCATGACCGCGATCACTACTTTCTGTATACGGGCATACCAACAGCTGCTCGACCTGCTATGTGCTGGTAGGTGGATCGTTCCTTCAGCACCACAGGATGAATCGTCTATTAATTCCTAGTGGGTAGCGAATGCATGATGCCACAGGTCATGTAAGTTTATTCGATTCCTTAAGATATGACCTAAACATCCGTGAATGATCGTTGGATATAGCAAATGAGAAAATCATTGATAGGGTTCGCTATATCCTTTCTTTTCTGACTCCGGTGTTCCGGCGTGAGCACCAACAAGAAATGAAGATTAGCAATGAGCAAGGGAACGGCACTGGAGAAAATCGTGTTATATCATATAGTAGTAATTATAATAATTATGATTACTAATACTTATTTTTTTACCAGGTGTATAAAAGTTGAATCTATTGACGCGTGGCGCACTCGAACCAGTGGTCTTCGATCCGTATAAGTTAAATGATCATAAAATTGCTGAAAATCATTATTTGAACGCGAAAAATGAATGAGCTGTAGTGAACTCTAGTGATAATGCAGAGTAACCCACAAACCCAGACGATCGTTTGTGTGACTAGATCTTAATGCCCACTATTTATCTTTCAACCCGTATTCATTTAGTGGTTCTTTTTCGTATCTCATCAGCGAATTTCTATCGTACATTGAATTCGCGGCCCTAGTAAAATGAGAGGCACAGCTTACGTGGACTTAACTTCACCAAACAGGGAAGAGCCTTCGGTATAATACTGATGAACAAAGCCTTCCTTTGTGCCAGACTTTCTCAAGTATTTGTCAGGCCGTCCACAACGCGTGAGATGTAGCTAAGATATACACAAGAAGTGTATATTCAAGCAACCTTTTGCTGTTTCTGATCTAGTGGGTGTCATTATCTAAGGTAGATCTCTCAAAGCCAGCTCGATCGAATGATAAGATGACCCCTGCCCCTCAGGCAAATATGCTATTCAAGGCAGGCCAACGTCAGCAAAGGACCTATAGGAACTCATTCAGTGTGGCAGCAGGGCAAGCTCCGGCAAGACGCAAGGTATGGCTTTAAACGTAAAGGCTAGAAGCGTCGGTGCTGGCCGTGTAACGCAGTAGCTTTCAACGAGTGGGGGCCATTCGATATGACAGCGCCTGCGGCATCCAAAAACGGAGCCAAGGAAAAGAGTGACGAGGTCGTCGGTTCGCATAGATTAGTTCGTAAAGGTTAATGGCCAGCTGCGTCGACGAATGCGGACCGTCTGAGCAATCGCGCCAGCGGCGCAGCGAGAATTGTCGCGTGAGAAGAATGACTAACCTAATAGTAATCCATAACACGTGACGTCTGCGCAGGACATTCAGGAAAATCAAAAGCTGATTGACTAATATATATCGTATACGCATACGTATTTTATGTATTGATATGACGTACAACAAAAATATATATGTATATATATATATATATGGAAGAAAAACAAGGATTTGAACGCCATATGCAACCCTATGGCTACGAAACAAGTTACTAGGAGCTGCCGGGAGGTGCGTTGCTAGGGGGGTTAAGTGCTCGACGGGCTGCTGCTACTTCGAATTGTAGTGACAAACCACATACTGCAGGACTTCTGCAGATACCGGAAGTTTTCTATTTATATAGTCGTTGATATATTTTATAATTAAGGCAACATTACACACTACTGGCACCGTCTGCATTTGAGTATGGTGGCTGTAATTCTTTCCTTTAGCTGGCGTCGGTGCGCAAGCAGCGCTAGCGTTCAAATGAAGCCGTGCTCTTACTTGTTCGCATAGCTACATTGTACCTTTGGCAGCCGCAGAGAACAGAGAGCATATCTGATACATGGGTTAGGAAAGCCGTCCAGCAAGGTCGTAAACATCAATTAGACTTTGTATTGATAATCCAAGCTGTTTATTGGCTTTTTTAAATAAACTATATTAGTCTTTATTGCCTAATCCGCTCCGGACCCTGTTTCGGCCATAAACGAATACAGCCCGACTTAATGCTCATAATAAAGTTGCTAGCGGACTAGTCGCCTCCACTTGAGAAACGGAAAACGTACAGAAGCTATTCTTGTAAAACCTACATTGTACTATGTGTAGGAAGGCACATTTGCTGTAAATAATATATTTTCTATATTCGTATAAATGCGATAGGGTATACAGTCTTATTCTATTGTTATTGACAATGAGAACATACAGGATGTGCCTGCCGAGTTTTTTGTTGAGCTTCCAGGCCTACAGGTTTTTTACATCATTGCAAAGACGCACAAAGTTCTACATCTACATGCTTGTTAGAAAATTCGAATAGGCACATCTGCGGCGTTCCAGAAACGGTAGATATTTCAGGTCCAGCAAATAGCACTGGGGTATATCGTCAGAGATGGGTGACCTTTTTTCAATCAAACAAAGAGAATAACTCGTACTTTTGGCGCTTGTGGAACTTTTGAGCGTTATCTCCGACATAAATAGGGATTTAATCCTTCTTTGAGTTGATTTTTTTATTAGTGTTCATTTTATGGATATCAGATGAGTCTTACAAACACAATACAGCTCGGAACTTGCGTTCTCCTACTTGCATATGAGCTAGAAATGACTTTTGACATAATGGCGTCGTTCAAATAAAAGCTGGAATTTCTGGGTGGGCCTATAATGTTTTAGGATTTTAAAAAACATATTACATTTTTAAAAAATGAAGCTAAGTAAGTAATTAACCTTTTGGTATATGACATCAACATCATTATAACTCCTAACTGTATATATGAGTTCGCCAGCTAATACTACATCGTTTTCTGGGGGTTTATATGAATAATTATTATACAGTTATTACAGCCGGTCTCACTCAGCGCTACCCCAGAAAGCCAATCGGCCAACAATGGTCAACAGCGACAAACATAAAAAGTGGAGGTATGGTGGTCCGAGCGAGAAAACGCGAGCCCCGGGCTTCGGCTCACTATCTTTTTCTTCGTTTGCAACGGTCGAATCGCATGCCACCCGAACAATGCCATTGCTCCAAGTTGTAATAAACAAGATTTTTCGATGAAGATTGCGTGTATGTGTTATATTGGGGTTCGCGCACGAAGAGCTATAGCAGGAGAAGCAGTAGCAGCGACAGCACCAACAACACCAGCGATAGACGTTCGACGTAGACGTAAAACGTGAAAAAGCATAGAAGCGGTTGCTCAACAAATGCCAACAAGCGGCAGGAGCTTCAGTCGGTCCAGTTATGCTTATAAGCGTCCAAGCTCACAGGGAATCGTCAACCCTAGTTTCTCGGCAATACCCTAGTTACAATCAGTTGTCACATTTCCCGTTTACCTCCTGAAAACCCTAGTGGTATCTAATTCAATGTAGTACTAATATAAACGGCATTCTCTACCAATTCAGCGTTTATCCAAACATCAAGTCATCCAATGGCGGTATTTGGGTCTGTGTATGTCGGTCGTACGGCCAGCACTCAACTATCGTTCAAACGGTAGCCAAATGCTATCGTCGTCAAGCGAATATTGGCAAAAATCTTAGTAATGTTTCGTAAAAAAAGTCACTTGGTGTTGCAAAAAAATCAGCGACCGACGTCTAACAGCCAACGTGCGAAACTGTCTAAACTTCGTTCATTTTCGGTCAGTGCGTGGAATGGAGCTCTTTGTTGAACGGAGAGATCGCCGAAAATGAAATAATCGTGCTTTGGCCCAATTCTTTTACTTCCTTTGCTACCTTTTTGTGATTGATATAACTCGTTGTTCTAACAATGTTTTTCTTTGTGCTCCACCTATGTTTTTCGCTAGGCTTTCCTTTAACGTTTGTGGCCTATGCTCCGCATCCCCCATAAAGAACGTGGGCAAATCGTGCTCTTACCTCAATTCTCCTGCGCCTCTGTGCCAGATTCTCATTAACGCTTTCGGAATGCACTTTCTTCGTTGTTATGCTTCTGCTGGCCTAAATTACAACAACTCCGAATCCCCTCTTTACCTTGTTTATGCAAGTGAAGCCCCTGACCTTGTTCCAACCGTTTTTCTCTATTTCATCAATAGCCAATGCTGCAACGCAAGGTTTGTTTCTCAGTGCTGCTTATATAAACGTCGCGCTACGCCCTGGGGGACGGTAGCCAGACAAAAAAACCTCGTGACAATTCTGTCCAAAAGCCGTGCAGTACGAAAAGGACCTCAATAGGCCACTACCGTTTCCCACTAATCAGCCCAAAACAACCCGCACTGTTATAACCCTACCTGAATGGTATTTACAGCATGGCCGTGATCCCTGCCGATGTACGTGGGGGCAAACTTGTGCTTGTGCCTCCCTATATGTCGGTCGACGTTGGGTGCAAGTCTGTGCTACTTGCGTCCGTGCCTAAACAAGCGAGGAGGCCACATTTCTTGCGTCTCGAGCAATGGCGTCACGTCCTACTGCAAAAGCCACTCGAAATACGGTGGGGGCGTATTCTAGTGCAATAACTCTCGTCGCAGTGGTATCGCCTAGCCATCTTTGCCAATCGGATTAGCAGCGATAGCACATTCGGCGGCAAAGAAAAGCTGGGAAGGCCAACCGTTCTAAACAATATGGCCATTACGATGTCGCCGTTAGACCCATTTCCGGGCCATTCGCTTGTTTTCTTTCGGTAAATTTACCCTGGGAAGTTCTTCTTTGGCATTATTCATGGTTGGTATGCCATTTAGAGTTAGGGCATTGAAAAAGCAAAGAGATCAGAGGATCACAGGCTTCAGGACACGCTTAATTTTCGGTCATTGCTATGCTCTGTGTATGACCACCTACAAAGACTATATTATTCTTCAGAACACAAAAGGCACAGTAAGCTAGGCAATATTTTTTTCCAAAGAATGGTATATAAATGCATTGGCCATAGCCACTGCCTGACCTTATGGGCATTTTATTGATATACTATTGCGCATTTGTAGGCGCATGCGTGAAGAAACATATTGTTTAACAAGGTTGATCTCGTCTAATAAAAGATGAGAGAAGAACTATTACATATACAACTATGTATTCTTAATTCGAGCCTGCTCTAAACAGTGTCCTTTTTTCAAGGGAAACTTCCAGTGCTGCAGAGCATCTAATTCACACGTACTACGAGCAGAGTATAATATGGATTTTTTAGTACGTTAATTTAACATTAGCCAGTCGCTGCGCGCTGCGCTAATGTCAGAAGCTCAACTATTAGGATCTAGTGCGCTTTAAAGTTGAGCGTGTCTAAGCCGACAAGTAAGCAAACAAATAAAACAAAATGTCCGTGGTAAGAGGATTGATTTAGAAATCATGGAAGTTTTTATTTAAATAAAGGTTAGATCCGGATGTCGCCTAAATATCGTTTCGAGTTCGGATTGTAAAATTGTTACTGAAAATCTCGGCAGACAACAACTTCCAGCCCAAGGCTACTACTGGACCAAGGTTGTTATACTGGTTATTCCGAACATAGCAGAATTTCGATTCTATCCGGATGTAGGTAAAAAAAAAATAAACATCGAGCATTTTCAAATGGTTCATGGACGTTCAGATACTGTATCAACTGAAATCAGCAATATAACGTGCCTCTTTAGTGATAAAACTGTTAAAAATGTGGCCTTGATTACGAGTTAAGGCATGAAGTGTTGACTTCAGTCTCTTTTGTGTCCAAACTCAAACCAGTGCTTTTATCTGAATATTAAAGCAAAAACTAGCGTTTTTCAATTTTTCCAAAAACTAAATAGTTGACGTAACCTGAACATGCGACCCTTGAAAGGTATTCATAGTTTTGATAAGGATATACCTAAATTATAATAAAAAAGATTATTCAAAGGTCACACAAGTCTAATCCAAAGATCCAGATGCGGCTATAAAAAAATCAGTTCTACTTGATAATCACACTGCGGACCTATCGACATTTTTGTAGACCCAACGCACGGCTTAGCCGGTCTTTCAGCCGCAGAAGCTATACAAATACATACATTGTGCAGTTTATTCTTGTATCTACACAAACCCCTCGTTTTTTGTTAATAGCCATTCAATAGCAATTGCAGAGATTGTCCCAATTTCTTGTTTTGTTGAACGTCACGTGGGGCACGAACAAAGACACGAACAAAGATACCGGCTATTAGAAGCATCAGCGTCCATGGACAAAACAAGACGCTGTTCTTGGTTCTTCCACATCAACTGTTAAAGCGATAGCATACAAAGGTGAAAAGCAATTGTGTGTCGCTTTTGACTGAGTAGGTCCGACGGTCTTTATGTGCCGGGGCGTTCGTCGGATTGGCCTTAGTGCATTGTTGCTGCTTTTCGGGGTCCTGCTGCAGCTAGCACATTCCGCAAAGTGGAATGAGCGTGTTTGATCATACTACCATACGATGGATAGGTGTTCGCCATCATTCCGTCAATCGATTCGTTGTCGGCTTGGTTCTTTTTGTCCTCGCTCTGGCAACAGAGATGGAACAAGACTCAACTGGCTTTCTGACCCGTTCAATGCGATCTTTACTCGGCCACTCCGCTTTGTCCTATATCCCACCTGAAGGAATCTTCTTGGCTGACACACACATAGACACATATTGACACACTTGTAGTGCCCGCGCAATCCTACACTGGTCTGCAGGACTGTTGATGACGGAGGAGCCGGTCGCTCGTGCCTTGCTTCCGATGTCTCTGTTATCGCTGCTCTAGAGTATCAATCGGGGGACCAGCAGAAAGTCTTAACGTGTCTTGGCAATTTGTCGGGATTTCTGACGCCAAAGATTTCGATAGCGATTGGCTTCAACAGCGGGAGTTAATCCAAGCTAACGATAGACTACCTAATAGATGCGCCTATTACTATTGCTCGAACTGTTTTCGATTAGCTAGCGGTGACGTTGAGTCGATGTTCAAAAGAGTACATTGTCGTGTTGGGCTTTGGCAGCAACGTTGGAAGTGAACTAAAAGCAATAAGGGACATCGAGCCTTCGTAGAATTTTCGGTGAAACCATCAAATAGCCATAAAGAGAACAATTTGAGAAGATTAATTACCATATATTATGGTAAGGATTTTGGGGCATAATTCCTAGAATGAAAGAAGAGATTTCACAACGACGACGTTATGAGTTGGGCAAAACTTATACGATTTGAGATATTGATTGGCGGCGCAGGACTACATTTATTTGAAATTCTGTAATTCTTGTTAAGTTCTAGCGACATTTCGCGAGTAAGCAAATCCTATAATACCTTGATAGTACAGTATCAAGTGTCATACTTAGGATAATTATATATTGAGTTAAACAATATGTTTTGGCGCACTTTTTCAAATACTTGCCTTTCCCTTCAGTTCTCTCCTGTATGTTCAACGTAACATGCCAATCGAAAGCTTTTAGCCCTTTCTATCAGCCTGTGCATTAAATAAAAATAAGAGAAGATTTACCGCTCGACTCAATAATTCAAAATTCTAACATTTTGTTTGTTAATAACAACTAAGACCAAGTAAAAATAATGAGATTTGTAAAATTATATTAATAAATGTTGACATAGTCTAACGCAGGTATTTGCATAGGTATAGCTTGATTCTGTCCTGGTGGCGATGAGCGGATTTTAAATCGAGAAATATTTTATATACAATTGTAAGTATCGTAGCGAAAATAAAGCAAGAAAAATTATTACGTATAAATTTGGTGTAATGTTTTAATATTCTGTTATGCCATGTTAAAAATTTCGTAATATGCAAACCTAAAAACATAACTTGATGTGGAACTTTTTTTAAAGTACTAATATTATTAATATAGAATAGTACTACGACTGAAAACATACTAACTTATTGGACAGGTATCTGGTCTGAACCAGTTGCGAGTCAGATTTTCACAACCTTTTATTAGTTTGAATGAGTCATTTTTTAGTACGCATGTCCACGCGAAGCTTCCTTATAATAAGTCGTTGCGTTTATGGCGTCAATGCATTCTGCAACAATGGCCTAGCAAGGCACGAGTGTTCTCTTAAGAATTTGCATTTTGAGGAATGTTCCCAATTAAGCTGACTTCAATGCAAAATAATAATAATAATTCTTTCGTCACAGTCATTTTTAATCATATCCAGTTAAAAAGAGGCCTTAAAAGAACTGAAAGAGAACCTATTTCCTTTGAGTAAAAACAAATATTATTTATAGGATAATTCGCATTCATATGAGAAATTGGTGTCACACAGAGTGGGTTAAATATTTAGAAAAGGTTCGCCATCGATTAAATAGTCCTTCAAACCGTGAAGCTTTGACTCACTCAGTTTGAAAGCATTGACATAAACATCTTAACAAAAAAGACACTAATGTTTTACGAAAAAGTACCATTAAATTTAAACATTTCTAAAACGACTGCACTACAAAAAACACTATGCAGCAGAAAGTTTATCTGATAAAAAATCGGTTTCACCTTCGCACGATATACACGTGCCTTCTATGATTTCCAGCAACTAAACCGTCAAGCATTACTTTCCTCTAGCACACACCTAACGTATCTACGCTGAGAATCAAACCTAAATTACCACCTATCCTTAAGCTTAGTAGGCGAACACGTTGTCTGCAGCGCAACCACGGGAACAACGAGAACTATATACCCGTGATTCATTCACAGGCCCCGTCATGACACAAAATTAGACGCAAGTTGTATATTGGTGCTACTTACGTTTGCAAAAGGGGGCGCGGTCAGACCATTTGCCTGACGCGAGACAACGAATCTCCTCGGAGCCCTGCACCATGTAGCCCTCCATACAGGCGAACTTAGCCCGCGAATGCAGACGATTCTGATATTCGGACGTCACACGTTGATCATCCTCTTCACCTTCGATTTTGCCACACGTCACATCTAAACAACCGTGAAATTTGGTGTATTAATTATTAGGCTATAACACTACTTTCGTCAATAGTTCAGTAATTTCACAAATTTGTGCGTGCGCCAAAAGGCATTATCTCATGATTACCTTTATCGTTGCTAAACGTATCTAGTAATTGTTTACGCAGTGAAAAAATAGTGCAATCAATTCTGTTTATTTATACAGAAGCATTGACCACGTACCACGTAACAGTACTTTCCACTCAAACAGAATCGTGAGATTTGTTCAATTCTCATATTGCTTAAAAACTTTTTCGCAAGATATTTTTCCACAGGTCTAAAATCTCTTCGCACCAACACATTTAAAAAAGGCAATGCCTTTTTGAACACTTATGTTAAAAATTGCAGCGCAAGCTAAAATATCACTGAGTTCTTTGCATCCAGACAACTAAAGTTTATTAATTACATGTATGGACCCGAACAACACAGCAAGAATTATCAAAATAAAAACTGTAGTAAGAACGCTACACTAACGCTGTCACAACAGACAAATATGACTGCTGCTTTGTAAAAGTATTTTTTTTCTTAGAGTTTTTGCAATCCTTCGAATCACTTGAGCTGGTAACAACTTATGTCAAACAATTTTAATGTAAATTATATATACAGGAGGGGTCCTCCGTATATTTAACCTCCAGATAGTCATAATTATATATATCTGGTATTATTCACACAGGTTGTGCACCGCCATGTATTTATCTCAGAAGATACGAGCATTACCAGTATTAATCCAGAAACTTTCTAGACTATCCTAGCATACATTATTTGATGAAATAATTTGAGATTAATAATTTTAATAAAACGAGAATAATTTTTAGGGGTAATTTAGTATAGTTGAGTTTTAGCTCATTATCACTACTGTGAACGAACGACAGATGAACACCCACCTCAGATGTAACTTTTTTTTTTTGTATAAGGTGAGTGCGTAAGTTCTGTTTTCTGACACCGAAGCTCACTTCAAGGCAGTAGCCGTAGTAATGTGGGATTTAAATGGTAAAATTCACACCTTCTTGGTCACTAGCGACTCTGGGTCGGTGCCTGTTTTTTCTAATTCAGACTTTTTTCTGTGTTTCTTTCCGGGAACACAAAAAAAAAGCCAGAAACGTTCACAAGCTAACTTTAACCGTTTTTATTACTCACACCTAAAAAAAAAATTACGAAGACAAAAGCGTGAATAATTGGTTAATTTACAAAACGCTGCTGAGTCCGCCAAATATGAAACAAATCAACTCATTCAATACTAACTATCTTTAACGCTAGTCAATGTGGCCAAAACGAAATGCAATCTAAATAAAGCATATATATATATATATATATATATATATATATATATATATATACTATTTTCGTGGATTCTAGGGAAAATGACGATGGCACGTGCACTACACCGCGTACCATTTTTTTTACGAGCCGATGTCGTGTCGTTGTAGACAATACTAGTTGTAACTTCAGTTAATGTACGAGAAGATCGTCCTCTGGCATAGCTTAATCTCAGAGTTATCAGGCGCTATTAGTTGCGGTCATGTCAAGGAGAAGGTCGGGACGGAAAAGGACATTATCTCGAACCATTCCGAAAAGAGTCTAGTTAGAGAGGAAAGCAGGTTGAAATTAAACTGCCTGCGGGAACACCTTTACCGGTGAAGAACACAACACCTGTTGTACATACTTGTTATAAAAATAGATTTGTGAGCATTGAGTGCGAGTACTTTATGCGATAATAAGACGATCATCGATAGGCCATATCATTGATTTCGAATAGTTTTCTGACAAAAGAATCCGTATGAGCCGACCAAATACATAGGCTTAAATCTCTAACGAGTTATATTAATGCAGTAATGAGCGTATTTTTTAATTCACGCGATGAGTGAAAGAGATTTTTCTAATTACACAAAAAAAAGGTTGTTTGTAAACGAATTTTATAGTGAACTAATAATGCGAGTTGCCTTGCAATGTCCTGCATTTTTTCTTGACAGGCCTTGTTTGCCCGAAGTACCTTACAGCTTCCGGTTCTGGAGTCCTTCCTAGACATCCCATGGAATTTGTGAGGCGGGTGCCCAGCTTCGTGGCCACACGATATCAAAATGTGCGTCCCTCCGGCTTTATCATATTATCTCTTTACTGCTGATATGCCGTGTCGTGAAAAAAATCACCACAAATATGCTTTGTGGAAATCTACAGATACGAAAATGCGACCTACGAAACTGATGTAGGATACAGGCCTAACTGTCGAGACATGTTGAACCTGCCATATTCTTTAGACACACGAGCTAATGTTACAGCGCTATTTTGAATTGCGCATAACGAACGCCGAAATCGCCCAGCCTGGAAAAGTACGACAGATTGCCTAGCTTCTTTATACACCGAGATTTCACATTTAATTAAGCATAGTTAAAGGTAACGCTTTCATCGAAATCTAGACCTGTGTAAAATCGATGATATTTCAGTTACGTGACCATGGCTTACTAGTTGACAGCTTGAGTGTTTCCCTTCTCATTCACAGTCTAATGCGTAAAATCGGTCTAACTATGTTTTGCCAATACTCTTTAACATTAACTCTTTGTTCATAAAACTAAAGGAGGTAAAAAAAAAAGGTGGACTTTTTTTTTGTTGTAACAACAAACATTACCTAAATCACTTTGAAGATTAATAATTTCGATATTTTCCCTAGAACCTTTAGAATAGTTTTAGTTGTTACCTTTGACTTTAATAGCGATCGAATTTTTTTTTTCACGCGGTGTTGTACATGTAAACACACCAGAATCTTCGTCACGTGCTCCGTACAGCATAAGCTCATACCTGTTGAAACGTATACAGAAACAAAATCAAATCAAAGGTCTAATAAATGACACGAAAATTATATGTGTTAACGCGGTATCAAAAATATGATTAGTGCAGCCCGTTTATGACATGTCGCAAGTAATAGCGTAGGACATTTTACAATATTCAATACAAATACTTAGCCATTGTTTGTCGATTTCGACTGTGGATTAATTCGACATGATACACGTGTTGATTGTGTTTTACAAATATTTCTATAAGACACTTCGATATGTTTAAATAAGATAACTTCCTTTATTGGTACCAAATTGTATAGTATTTAGGGATCGATAATGATACTTGAAGCAGCGATCCCTATCAGTTCTTGTCAATCGAAAGCTTAGCCTGATAAGTTGCAGTGTATTTAAAGGTGGCTAATTTTTTTGTTGTGAAAGACGTCCGATGTACGTTATTTTTTTTCTTATTTGACTATTTTTTGCGCTCCGTACTAAAATCTTTAGATATCGCGTCAGATAGAGCTTTACTAGGCTTTTCTCCAACGGAGCGAGATAGTCAACATATGCCTTTGTGACCATCCGTCAACGCGTTAAAGTTGAGACTTGAATAAGCTATAGTCACGCGTTTATGGTTACCGTGGCAGTCTACTCAGAGAAATGTGTATTAGCAACCCAGATCGCGTGGTTTTTTTACTCGGCATAATGGATGTATTTTGAATCGTTATTTAACAGGCATCAATCGTTTTTTTTTCAATCACTGCCGCAGCTCCAACCGAGGTTACAACAACCTAGCAAAGTATGTCACATACAATAAATCATTCATCCACTGCGCCTATTTCATTGTTTTCACTATTTACTTACTTGGTCTTCCATTGTGTGCCACCGAAATTTACTATAAAAATGAAATCGAACAAATAAAACATGCAAAAGGCGGACAACGTCGATGGCAAAGGACGAGGTCTGCACTCAGATCGGTTAGCCATGCGGCGGCAGTGGTCAGAACAGTTCGATTAAGATATGGTCTATATTTTCCGCCACTGTTATTTCTTCGCCTTTCCGTCGCTCAGTTTTTCCACTCATAGAGGAAGGAGACGAAAGCTGGGTTTTACTTTGCTAGCTATTGAAAAACGTTTTGAGCGCAATAGTAAACCGGTGACGACAGTAGCGACAATTGCGAAAGGAATGAAGTCGACAGAAAGGGCAGGTCGCCAAAAAGGGAGAGAGAAAAGGTACCGGGGAGCGTCTTTCAGGAGCATTACATATTTTCATTTGGCTCCATTTCTAAACTTCGTCAGAAGGGAGGGTGAAGAGGCGGATCCGAGACTTTGTAAAAAGGTCTGCTCACTAGAAATGGCGTGCGAGGCGTTTCCAACGCGCGGAAGTAATCGAGGGTACGTATAGAATATCTATAACGTATAGCGGCTTGGATTGCCGGTAAGACTCCAGTTTAAAGAAGGTAGAAATTAGTTGTTTAGGTCGCATTAACGACGCGAAACAATACAGTGACAACTGAGACACGCAGATTTAGCGAAATAATCTAACTGATAATAGCTATTTCTACTACGGAGAGATTTGATTATTTCGGGAGTTTGTTGTGTAACTGGCGGAGATAAGCACAGGTATTGCTGGAGATATTAAGCTTGGCATATTTTTTAGTTTTACTTTCGAAACTACTGTCGTTGCTTCGGACGGTTGACTTCTACAAACAGCGAACAAATTCTGTTTATGACTGACCCGGCTTCAAACCTGAACTGAAACCTAAATGTTCCTAAATTTAGTAGGCAAATACGTCACCACTGAAATTTTAAGAACCTATACACGTTGTTGTCGTCATCAATAGCTTGAAATTCTTCATTGCTAGATTGTAGTGCCGTCGTAAGGTAAGGCAAAGTATTGGCTTTGCGTTTAATGCACAGCTAATGTGACTTAACAGATAGCAGTACTTTTTCCAGAGGGGGGCATATGTGTTAATGGTGATTTTACGTAGATCTATCGAATATGCTATCGCATCAAGAGAGGATCATGTATCTAAAATTGAGGAAATAAGGATTAGTGTCGGGATCGAGTGACTAGCGCATGATAATGAACTTTGTTATCGTTAAGCCGCCACCGCCACTTGATCGAGGGTGAAAACCGTTTGATCCTATGGAAATGTTTCTGTTTTGTATACATAAGATCGAATACGTTCGTCTTGCAATATCTAGATGAATCGGCTTGTGCCATTCTACCCCTCTGGATGGCTGGAATATATAGGACGGATTACACGCAGAGCTTTAAAGTGCTATTGGTTTTGACCGATTTTTATTAGATCCATTATACGCCGCTTTCGTTCCTTACGAGCGCAATATATAAAGACTTACTAGATTAGTCCCAATCAGACTGAAAGCCAAAAGGGTCTTATAGCTAGTGCCGGTCCAGAGGATCCGAAAAGACAGTAGAAGAATCATAGAAGAGTAAGGGATCGCACAAGTAAGTGAAACACCAACAGCGAAGGACCGCGGTACATTGCGGCGCCACCGCCACGCCCCTTACCGCTTGACTTTTGCCTTCTCTAGGCTATTTCTGATGTTCAGGTCTTGTCCCAATTCGAAAACTGGAAGATCCTCGCTATCCTGCCCTCGTGTTACGACCATCAACATCATATATTGCCAACAGAGGCAGTACTTCCAGATAACATCTCCTTCTTGGGCTACACATTCGCTCGATGAGTTCTTTCCTTCTTTCATTTTTAGGTATATTGAACTCATACACGATGGCGCAGACAGCAGCTTCTCCCATCCACGTCGTTGTTCTTCGATCTCAGACTAATGCCATACTTGCAATTCGAAGTCAGAAGCTTTTCACTTCGACGAAAAGGTACTGCTACCCAAAGTGCAACTAAGATTATAAGGAAACAGGTACCAAACTGGGGCTGAGCTGCTAGCGTTTCAGTAGGTCCTGTTTTGCATTAGTGAGACTCCGGTAGATTAGGATGGAGACGCCACCAAAGAGTCGTCCTTTGCCAGCGACCATTGCGAGAAAAGGGCGCGGTTGAGCCGGACGCCTTGGCCTCGACTCTGATCACAGAGCGAGTTAGTACTGCTCCAGCAATCTTCCTTCCACGGGTCCTTTCCAGTCTCGGTTATCGACCTGGTGACTTGTTCTCCTTCCCTCTCTTTTTCCTCTCTCATTGGGTAGTAGAAGACTGCCAACGATGAGCAACAGCGATGGAGGTTAGGAGGCGACTAGAGATTTTTTTCCTTTTTTGAGAATGCAGAGGAGAAATGGAGAACCAGAGAAAAGAGGGACGAGGTCGAGCGCGGGCAAAAGAGAAACTAAACAGAAACCGGGAGGTCTAGAGTTAGAAATAAAGCAGACGACGTTTGACGCCTTTGGAAGTAAATAATGACGGTGCCATCAGGTCGTTAAGCCACACGTTAGGAACGAAAAACCAACGCAACGGCGGAGGGACACAACAATCTTAGGGCAGACTTGGCAGAGATTGAAGCAAAGCTCTTGGCAGAAAGAACGTTTGAGAACCACGCCTAAATGATTAGCGATCGGATCGGTGTGACGGGTGCATATAAAATATCGGTGTGAAGTTATAATTAATAAGAATTCTTGGGACTGGGATAGAGTAGTCGCCTAGGTAAGTAATCAGTATTAGAAGACAAACGTGTGCTTTGTCAGTGAGCAGCTAGGACGCACGATCGTCTGATAATTCAAAAATTTGACCCATTTGGCTTAGTGTTAACCGAAGATAGGCACATATGTTCGTACACCTACAAATGGTTCTACATACCTTGACTGGAACACAGATACAATTGAAGATAATGTAGAATTAATAGCAAACATAATCAAATCGGATAAACGTATAGCCTGAAATAGTCACCCACAACTTGAATATTTTATAGGATCGAAGTAAGGATGTTCTTGATCAGGATGGAAAAGTGATCATTACAAGACACAGTAAATGAGTGGACAATAGGTGTCGAGGAATTAGGCGTATAGATAGAAGGATGTATACATGAAAAGAGCGTTACATGATAAAATCGACTAAATATGGTACAGAAGAACGAGAAAAAGCTCCAGACGAGATACTCATTGAGCTAATATTAGAAAGCAAATACTAAATACGGTGAAAATAAAGGGGGCAGATGGATAGGGCGGCGGAGACGAATATGCAAAATGAGGAAATCATTAATGTCAAAAGTTTTAGCTTTAACATTGCAAGAGACTTGATCAAGTACCTCCTCGGACCAAAACCCGAACTCGCTTCATTCGATCGAGTAAACTCTGAAACGCTAGGTGTGATGTCAGAGAGCAAAAACTGGATTAACGCGCATCTTATTATTTATCTCACTTTGTATCGGTTAATCATTTCTAGACAGAGTCATTTCTTTCATCCTCCGATAGCTCTTGACCGCCTTCTTGCAAAGCTTCGATTCTTGTCGCATGTTTAATGCCTGCTTTTTTCTTCCTGGGTGTCCCCTAGAAGTTTCTCTGTGGGCACCTTTTACAAGCCTTCCAATATTTTAATGCTTAGAGCTTACTTCTCCCTGTTTTTCTCTTTCCTTTGCCTAAATCGCTGCTTGTAGTGTTTTTTTTTATTTGAAATTTGGCTTTGCTTACATAGGTTCATTTTTTTCTGCAGGTCAAATTCATGCGGGCTGACGGAAGATCACACAAACACTTTTCTTACATGTAGTTGCGTTTAAGGGCACAGAACAGACCCCAATCAATGTTCTTTCATTCAGTAATAGAGTTCAAATGGGTTTCCTTGTGCTTTTTAGTCTTTCTCTCCAGGCTGAAGCTCCTCTTCAGTGGTCAAATTCGTCGGGTCATCTTTATCCGACGGGTGTGCACCGGTCAAAACAGTAGTCTGTCGTGGACATGGTAAGAGACAGAAATTTATTTGAGAAGTTTCATTTCAACTTGTAGTTTGCCTATCCCCTAAGCGCTTGCCTCTCCGCCAACATTAACTTGCGATCCAACTAGCTTGTCATTTCTTTTTAGCTTGTTTGCCCGCCCATCTTCGATACGCACCCTTCTGCACATGGTCAAACCTAGTTTCTTTGCGACAAACCGTAGCATGCGGCAGGCAGCTGCCGGAAGGCTTTTCATCTCACGAAGGATCCGTACATTCCGTGTGGGTGGCAATATACATTCGGAGGTTTTCTGAGTCTGCTTCGCGCTTGCATTCCCACCAGATATCGCCGTCATTCCAGACACAGTAGTCAGGGAGTGGTGCGTGATTGTTTGGAGCTGCCGTTCCGTGTTCCATGTCACTTAGTATGCGTCCATCGTTCGAAGTCGACGCGAAACTCCGGAATTCCTGTTCTTAGTTACCTGCTCCTGGGAAATGAACGAGGGGAACTGCAATGAATTGAACAGGACAGCTCAAGACCTGTCGAGACTTCGGTGGGCAGGCAAAGACATAACACGTGATATATATACAATGCGACTACTTTCATCAATGTAAGGACATCATCCCTACTTTTTCCTTCCGCTTCTAGCAAAGGGTCCTTATTGCGTTTGCGCCTGTCTCGAATGATAGGTTTCTCTGCTAAAAAAAAAGAATATATGAGCTTGTACTTTCAAGGACCTGGCCTGGTTTATTTCTCTATGTGGAACGAAAAAGGCATCCGGACCAAGCCATCGTCCCAGTCATAGTCGTATCGTTCTGGCTGATTCCTTTCAACGAACGTAGTTGTTCGGATCGTTGACGCGCATTCTGGGTCGAGTGTTAGGGTTTGCCACGTAAGGGATGCTATCGCTAAGCGGAAGAAAAAAGTTAGGGTTTAGAAGAAGACGCTTAAAAAGAGCGATACACAAGAAAAGGCTGTGTTTAGGTATATTCATCGTTATAATCTTTTGTAACGACGAGTCTTGAGTTAAAGGCCTTGTTTCTCTCGTTATCCGGAGGAAATTTGGACAGAAACTATTTATAGGGCTTTGATAGCAATGGAATTAGGAGACTTTGGCTTTCGGATCTGTTAACCTCGTTCCCAATTCAATTTCGTTGATGTTTATAATTTGTTTTGTTGTAAAATGCATTACTTCCAGGGACACATTGTTGATAATATGACTAGTGATTATGACGAGTAAAAGAAAAGTTGGCAAACGGTATCACGGCAGCAATAGGTTTTGGATCGTAACCATTTAGTATTCGTTGAAAATATTTGAAGAAGATTAGATTACGTTCTAATTGTAATTCGTTTTCAAATATTTAATTTGTTGATCTACATGATCCTGGTATCGTGTACTACATGACCTAAAACCACGACAGAGCCAGGATATATTATAACTTCGTATCCAGCATTGTGAACCTGCGCTGTGCCGTGCACCCAGAAGTACTTTAACATAATCTTCAGCAGGAAAGTCAGTCCACCAGACTGCTAAAGCCTTATAATATTCTATACGTGAGCTCATGTTGAAATACTATTGCCCATGTCACTACTAGCATTTGATAAGAAAAAAAAATTTAAGGACCATTACTCAAACTGATTGCGATTGAAGTGACGCCGGCATAATACATCTGCGTGACGACTCATGGCTCAGTGACTACGCGGCCGGGCACGTCCGATGCAAACGTCGCAGTAAATAGAAGGCTGAAGATATCAAGGCTAATTATTCCATTTGCCATAGGCACACATAGTATGACGCATGACATGACGCATTTCATGAAAACTTAACGATATTCGCTAACTGAGAATAGCGGAAATTTTGGAACAATGCCTAAAATTCTCAATCGGTCGGGAGTGTTTAAGTTGACGGGCAACATCGGATATTTCAATGGCAGGCACGATAGGGACATGTGTTATACCCACAGAGGAGAAGCGGTGAGTGGTCGTTAATACAAAAGCAGATGGGTAACCGGTTGGCGCCCTGGTCTATTTGAGATTGGAGGGATCAAAGTGATTTGATGAGGACAAATGAGTTAAACTGGAGCGTAAAATCGAAGAGAGGAAAGGGGATTATTTCTTGAAAGACCAATGGGGCCTCAACTGCGGAAAGCAATGAAGAGAAAAGCTTAAATGCGGCAGGTAAAGCTGGGAGAGTAGGAGAGAAAGGAAGCGAAAAGGGGAGAGAAGTGAAATCTCTATCCGAAAAGGCCTGTAAAACTGCGTTTTTTCTAAACCCAGTCTGCGCAACTACTGGTATGGCAACTGGCTTTGTTCTCCTGTGAGCTACAGAATGCCTAAGGATGCAAAAGGCCCGCCGAAGAAGACGGAAAGCGTCGTTAAGGTGAGATCGATTAACGGATGCGGTACCCGGTCGTGGCGAAACCGGGTATCAAGAAATAAAGGACGAAAAAATGGGTTCCTAAGGCTTTGCCTTTGTCGCAACCAGCGCGTGACGACCTTAATCTTCCCGCAGCCACTAGACACATTGGACAAACTATCTTGTCAAGTGAACCCTCTCCTGTGACGCAGTCGACTACTCGAAAAAACACGTAGAGCCAACTGGCGAATCACCAGCTATTGAATGTAACAGCTGAGGAAATGTATAGGGCATTCAGCTTGGGGCTCTTCGAACTTGTAAGGGTAATAGATAGAAAAATACAGAACCTTCTTAGAAACATTTAGCAGCTTATCAGTTTAATTATAGAAATCTAAACTAGGACACGCAGTCCTTGATGCGACGAGAAAATTGGTCGACGGCGTACAGTTCCGTACGATACTTGTCTAGACATGTACAATTTACTCATTCACTACTGTGTACGAGCACCACTAGCTGATCACGTACAGGTTGAGCACTTGGGCAGTGCCTAGGCGGATGCCTATATTGGCGTTGCCTATATTCTGGAGGCATCTTTTAGCTTCCCGTTGTTTATGACAAGGACGGACGCACTTTGCCGAGACGACAAAACCTTGGGAATACATTAGAATAAATGAATTGTGCTGATTGGTGGCCCAACGTCTATATTCTGTTACTGTTCGCTGACTGAGATGGGGTAAATGGGGTGCATGGAATCCACTAACCTTTTGGGTACATTTGAAGTATGGCGTGAAATACGAGGAATTCGGCAACAAGTAATTAAAACCTGTGGGCATTTTTCTAATGGGTGGCGCGCGGCGGGAATGAGTGAGTACGATCGTCGACGTTGTTTTTCTTACCATCGTTGTTGACTGGTATCACTGAGCTTCGCTTGACTGTCCCACCCTGGTCTCGTTAACGCCATCCCAAAACCTCTTTGTCGACAATCTGCGCTCTGTCCGAGCTGGCGCTGGATAATCAAGAGGTCATTCGGATATCGTTACAATAACACTACACTAATGTACTGAGCTCAGATAGTCAGCGACTAACATTGATACGCAGCACGTCTGTGCATGTATACGAAGTCGAGTGCAAAACCCTAGTCGCCTCTCTCTGCCCGCGTTAAATTCAAAATATAGGGTGATGAGGCACCCACGGCTAGACGACTCAGCGCAAGTGATCTTGCCGTTCTCTATACGCGCGATCCATATGAATGTTTCACAGTTAAGCAGGTGTAGTGTGATAGATATTAAGCCCGGCGAACTTGTTTGGGGCTTCTACAGAAGTATGTATGGCGATTTACGCTGGGTGGTCTTTGTAACGTATGTAGTTGTTATCATCGTCGTTGTCTGATTGCAAGTTCCGACAGCCTGGTCTGTCACTTGCTTCTAGTATGTGCTTGTCTCTCATTGGTTTAAACGATGGCTTCGCACGGCAAGATGGTCGTCGTCTAACTCAAAATAGCCTCTACTCTAAATTTACTTCATCTAGGCTTCCAGTTGCTACTTAGAAATCAATAAAGAACCCTCCAACAAAAATACCTCGCCTTTTTTTCAAGTTGTGACTGGTGCTTGAAAGATTGTTACTATTCCTGCTATTATCATACAGCCTTCCGTCTAGTTACCGCTTCTTATGCTTCTCGTTCTAAGTCCGATAGGAAGGAAAACTGTAGCATCGTTTGCGGCTCAGTTATCTGCGAAATCCGCCTATCACACATCGCTAACCCCCTCATCATCGGATTCGGGGCTGAGATTTCTTAAATAAACAGGCCTTCGTGAGCACGCATCACCAAGTTAGGTTAACTGAACCGTGTAAGAAGAACTATATAAGTTACAATGGTTTGCGCGTCGGTTCTCGGGTTTTACTTCCTTTTCTAGTTAATGCTAATTTTCATTTGGTCTTCAGTTCCAGGGCAGATTCGACGTACTGCCTACTCTTCCGTGAACGTCTTTTAACACAAAGACTTTCGTGAAGTATGGCGTCGAGCTTATTCCGCTTCGTGAGAAGCGGTTACATATTAGCCCGTTCTGACAGCAACAAAAAAAATTCCCGACTTAGTTGATTAATACTTAAACTAACCACTCAATTTTGAAGCGGCCTCGATCTTTCCGCCGTGGTTTTATTTTCCATATGACGGTTTTAATAGCAGCTAACTTTCTCTATTCACAAGCACGTGTAGCAGTGTCAATACTCTCTCCTTGTATAATGTTGCAATATGGCATAGCCTATCGCCGGTGCCCTGCAATAATTTTGCAATAATATCTATCTGTGACCTTTTCGTTCAAATGCTTTATGTTGCTTTGCCCCTAATCTCCATATTCCAACGTCCTTATTTCTTATTCTGCCTTCGTATAGACCCATATATTTCTCTTGAGTTTCATTCCACTCGATTCTAGATGCACCTCCCAGTCTCATTGCATCAAAGGAGGCGGAAGGCTTTGCCCAGAATTGGGCATAAATGGAACTGTCATTACTGCATCAATATTGCCCAGTTAGATGACGCCACCAACTCCAGTGGTGTAGCTTTTATACATTTTTGCCGTGATGCTTCTATTTTTTCAGTATCTCTACCTAAGATTAGGTCTAGTAGTCATTACAATGACAGTGGAACATTACGTGCTAAGAGACGAATGAACGCGGGATTTAAGCCTTGGAAAATATCTGTTTGTTTTACGCCAGCGGAAGTCCTCAACCGCACAATACAGAACTGGCGTGGTCTGGCGCATCTACTTAATTTCATAAAAAGTGATAGTAGAGCTTAGCTCACCTCCATTCGTTATCTTTGAGCACCCATACGCGGCCGTATTCACGTTCAGTGGTCCAGGACCACTGTGGATTCCCTTGGTGCCGCTCGAACAAGCAGTATAAATAGAGATTAGAACCGGGTGACACGACCAGCTCTCCTGTTTCGGAAATGCCATACTCGCCCTTTTCGACGAGGAAATCCAACGTAGGCGGGAATTCCAACTCTTCTTCTGCAAAGATCGCAAGAAACTTTCGTATTAGCTAACCCCATGTCTATAATAGTTGAAGGTGACGTGAAGCTCCTTATATAGCATTTGGCATTAATCCCTTGGTTAACTTAAGCTTGTTAAGTGTTACATCACAAACGTTCAAGAACCATGTGTAAGTGTAGAAGAGCCTATCGAAGTAAGTTCAATAGGCTCCTGAGATCCGGTGCTTATAGCAACTAAGCAACAAAAGGAATGGGCAAACCCATCAACGAATGCGTAGGTTGAACGCATAGGATCCATGTAAGGGGTTTCCTAAACACTACTGACTTACATTAATTTCACTTAATTTTCGGCAACACGGAGCGTATCTTTTGGGATCTAGAGAACTCTTCTCAATTAATTGAGTTACTAGAAAATTGCCAAGCTCCCATTGATAATATTAATATTCTACTCAGTGTACAATTCTGCTATGCTGATGGTTGATAGCCTAGTAACATTATGTCGCCTCCACATATCTCAAATGCCCTAATGCAACTAACAAACAATTAAGATCATCGTTGGTAGTCTATTGATACTTCATCCATACTCAAAGTCATTAGCTAGGGTTTTATAAACAGTATAAATCAGTAACTTGCAGTGTAATATAAGTAATTATTAATTTTTAAAAATATAATATATATAAGCCGTGTCTATAAGAATAAACTTATCGTAGAATGAAAATTACAGTTGGGCCTACCGCTTTACTGATACACCATTTAATAATCCTCTTTTGTTGATATTCCTATACTATTCATTAGCTTAATCCAAAAGTGCAAACCTACAAATATTAAACGAAGTATGCTGCGTCTAATCAATGGGTCGTGCACGCCACGCTCACTGCCCAGAAGCACTGAACGTTCCGTTTCCTGTATAATGATAAGAAATCGTCATGCACTCGTATAATCGTGCTTCCACTAAAATTAACTTTGGGTTTATAGCACATTCTACTCTAGATCCGACTTTAATTCTCTCCATGTTTATACTTTGTCTAACTTCTGCACCTTATGGATTCGTCTGCGCCAACTGCCCTATTGTGCACTGGCTGGCGTGCGTTCCCCCGCGATCGCCTCTGCCGTCACCATATTTCAAATAATAAACCCTCTGTACGGCGCATATGAACTAGCGCATGTAAGCTTTACTCTCGCCCAGCCACAACTCATCGGGATTCTAGCACCTCTCAGGATATTGTGGTTCTTAGATACTGGAGCTTCGCCAGTATGTGGAGGAGATCCCTTGCGATATTAAAAGACGTCGCTTGCCGCCAGTTTCACTGGCTGCCTAAGCACTTCACCCCTAGCGACATCTGAGCCATTCATTTAGTAAGTGAAGCAATCACGACAATGTTGAAGTAAACGGAAAATCAGGAAGCACCAAGACTCATGGGCTTAAGTCTGCAGCGTGATTCAGCGGGCAGCAAGGAAAACTATGACTCCACACTAAACCAGCCCACCGCAGTGGCGAACCGAAGCAAGGAAATGGGGCAACAGCAGCGGCTGTGTCAGCAGCGCTAAAGCAAATTAAAAAGTTAGTTCGTAGCAATTTTCAATCCTGTGCTCTTTAACATTCCTTTTCCACTCCAAACCCTACGCCTGTTACTGTTCCTGTCTATCGAACCTCCCAATTGTTGCGGGGGGGGGGGGGGGGGTCATACCCTTAGAGAATCCGTTGGCACCACCACTATGAGCCTTCACTTCAACTAGACTTCAATAAAAGACAAAGACTTAGATGAAGTCGCCGCCATACCGGTCCCTGTATTCCCTATCGCGTGAGCAACCTACCCAGAACGAACGCAATTAGAACTCAACGCTTGTTCGGAGCTACCAGGTCCTGGTAACATGTGTCATAGTATGTTACAGACTGTGCTTTGTCTTTTGACCAGATGTGCCCACAGGGCCTACGAGCAATCTATCCTCGTACATTCCTCTTCCTGGAGAATGTATGGGACAGAAGACCGCACCCATGACTATACAGACGGCAGCCCAGGCAAATCTCTATGTAAGAGATGAGAGATCTACTTGCTACCTTCTTGCACTAGCTCAAAGTGATACTAGTATTATGGGTACCTCTACAGTTACTTCTATCCTGTTGCCATATCTGAACGTGAGCAAGCAAGACAGATTCCTGGGTACTGTTCGTCCCCATTATCTGAGTTAGCAGCAACTGCTAAGCGGACGACGTGGTAGTAGTAGTAGTAGTAATTCAGAGAGCCCATATTGGAGACGCTTAATGGCGGGGCTCCATCTGCGAAGCAAGCCCGAGCGGGAGCCGGGTCGTCTCGCTGGCAGCTATTGTGCACATATTGAAAGGTCAATACAACTTTTTGTGATCCCACAACAGAGGAAATCCAATTTCATATCAACATTTGCTTTGATTTTTCGGATATCCTAAAGTTTATATTGAAATTTTACTTGAATATGGTATTATTTCTCATGCTATTTGTATACAGAGAAAAGAAAAGCAACGTTTTGGTAATTTCAGAATAATGGTCCCCTCTTTTTCACTGTTCTCAAATACGACATCAGTAACGAAGACGATGAAGATTACAAGAGCGGAGCGAGATAAAATCAAATCAGAGGCTCATAGCAGCGCATGCTAATGCAGAGATCGGCTGCTAGCAAACCGCTTCGTTGACTCCGACTCAATATAACGAAATAGCTAAATTTTCCGACCTATAATTTAGCGTCGTAAAGAGCGACGGCACGGAAAAATTCGAAGTGTCCATGAAAGATAATTTCGTGTCTAAATGAGCAGGCAAGTTCCAATTAATTTTGGGAAAATGAAGAAAATAACGCACGCGGAAGGTTGGTGAACGAGGGCAAAGCACGGACTCTTCTCCTGAAGCGACACCGGCGAATTAGTCGCAATAGTATGCTTAGGTCGGGCGCAGTCGAGTTCTCCGAAGGACTTCGATTCTCTTCGTATCCTCTGTTTATGTCTGCCTAATACTGCCTTCTGCTTCTGAAGGCTGTTGCTTTGAAACTCAAAGCATAACTATATTAGTTTTTGCTTTTATACGGGCGTTTTTGACCGCGCGCCGAGCGCGTTTTCTTCTTTCTCTGCTTCGTCACCGTTTGACAGCGTTCGACTTTTGCGTTGTCCACGTCCTGCTGCCGCAGAGTCAGGGCCATGACCAGCAACAGGCGCTCCAACCAACAGTACGAAGACACAAACAGACGCCTGTCTCACATCTACGTGGGCTCTTTTTTGAAGACTGTCAAGTAAGTCTACCCACCGACAGGGCGCAGCGTTTGGATTTCGTTTCACCTAGACGCATTATACGGAGCATAAGACCGCCGTATCACCTGCGTCGCCGGTGACCGTGTTGAACCTATGGCGTCTCAGATTTTCCCATTTACCTCTCTCTGTTCTTTGCGCGCTCGCTGCTCTTCCTCGTTACTGATGCTGACGTTCTGTACTCTGCAAGCCATTGGATCGCTCACTCAAATGATATACTAAACGCACGAACATTGCAGTATATTTAGATAGGACGACAGGCATCATGTAGCAGACGGAAGGACTCGGACAAACACTATTGAGCCTAAGGCAAGTAGGTCATAAGTGTGGTCGGACCCGTTCGGGATGACTTCATGAAAAGCTGATCTCACTAGTGTCAGTCGTAATAAAAAGCCAATAGATTCAGCGGAAAATTGAACCCATAAAATTGGTTTCTATTTCCGTACATGACTAACTCAAAGGAGTCTCTGCGTAGTCGAATTCCTGATTTACGTGATACTTCTTCTAATGTATTAACCGCGTTGTATGTACCGCATTTTGTTTCTTCTAGCTAAATATGGCCCTACGACTCAATTAAATTCAACATTTCTTATCTCTCCTTGCTAATTTGTCGTGTGAATTTGAATGAAGTCGTTCGCTCATTACTATCTCTTTTGGTTCTTCACATCTCGCCGTCCTCTGCGAACGCCTCAGTAGAAAAAAAGAACGTTCTTAATTGATTAAGTTGCATCGGATCATGCTTTGGAAAAAAGTGGCGTTCACATGCAGTGTCGCTTTGCTAACACTGATACTGGGCGCATCATAACTAAACATGGACTTCGAACGAAACTGTCGTAATCCCGATCTTCCACCGCAAGTATGTGGACGGACGCTTCCAATCGTTTTGCTTTACTTCGATGTAACAAAAGAAAAGGCTAAAAAGGCAATGGCATCATTTAGAATCGACCTGGGCTTTTCGCTTTTCTTGATCTGCTTCTCCTAGCTTGATATCGGCTTGTTCTAGGCCGTATTGATCTGAGAAAACCTCCGTCAGATCTCTATTTATTTGAAACTGAAAAAAAAAGGGGAAGTTTAGTAGACCCAGCGCTCTTTACTACTAATTAGAAAGGGGTAGAATTTCGCAGCCTATTTTGTCTTGCTACATCTGCCGTAGACTCGTCTGGAACCCAGCCCAACCCAGCTCAGCCGAGCTAGAAAATTATGCGTTGTCCGCCTCTGCCGTCGATGGATAATCGCTTAACGATCATCTGACGACAGTCCATACCTATGCTAAGCCAGTTCACTTTACAGGCAATTCAATCTCATATACCACTTTGCCGAACTGGAGCAGCAGGAAAAGTGTCCCCATTTGTATGGATTGCTTTCGGTACCCATATATTTAGGAGTAATTCGTGTGTGTGTGTGTATGTATCTGTGAGGTTAAAGCTTGCTGATGGTCTAGCCAGATGTGCCATTGTTTCGTTTCTAGTAGTTTTCAGGCAATAAAAGAAAATGAAACGTCTATGACAGCCATTACACAGATCGGTACAGGAACAAGACAGAGGACATTGTCGTCACGGGACTACGCTTTTCGGGCAGGTAACGGTGACGACTTTGTTTAGTAGCATGACCGAAGGTCAGAGTGCTCAGGGTTCTATTGCACATAGGCCCATCATCCCTCCCATATACTTTACGCGCCTTGCAGATTGCTCTCATTAAAACTGCCAGAGAGAAAAGCAGCGATTTGTCCCTTTTTCTCTGTCCTCTTCGTTGTATGCCTGTTTTCTGCTTCTCTCTCCCTCCCCCTTCTGTCAAGCTTGCTGTTATTCTAAACCTTTTCCACTTTGTATCCGCTCCGATCGTAAACTGAACGAGCGTCGAATGGACAGAAATTAGAAGGCCTGCTTTACGGAACTAGCGTTCTATAAAGCAACCGCGGGGCTACTCGTACTTAGGGCCGCGTAGCTTCCACCAGTGATGCCTGGCCACATGGACCGTTTGGATTGTGACAAAGATGACGACGGCAGCCAAATGAGAGGACAGAAAGCCATGTGGCCGTATCAGCATAAGACCAAGCTGCTTCACTGGCCGAAAAAATCAACTAATACTGTTTGTTTTTCTTAACCGTCTCCATTTGTTTTCTATATGAGTTTTTATTTTGCCTGTTTTCGACAACAAAACTTTTACACACAATGTGGTCGCTGGTAACGACATTCAGCCAATAAATATAAGCCACGTTGTGCTCCCATTCTTCGATTGCTGTTGTTCACCGCTGTCTTAGCTTTTAACCCAAAGGAAGAAGCAATTGGATAGCGAATGGCCGAACAAATTCCCTCGTGAAACCGCTGATTTGTAATTCGTTGTGTCTCTTGGGAAGCAGGCAGCCATGAGAGGTGGAAAAAGGGCATGCCAGAGAAAGGAGCTTACCAAAACCATCATAAGCTAGGTCAGCAACTCGCAAAAGGTGGTAAGCCAGGCAGCCGCTTGAGCAGACGAGGGCTTTTTGCTGCCAACACGGCCCTAACTACCAAATTCTGATCGCTAACGCAAACAAGGCAAATGGTGGGCAAAGGCTCGGCTGACTGCCCATGTCCTTTCCATTGGGCTGTATCTGTGACCCCAGCTTATGAAGAATAGGGAACGAGCGCGTCTTTTGAACCGAGGAGCAGCAGTAAACGGTACCGACGGAAAATCCATACGACTGAAAGGCGGAAAGTTGGTGGGGAGTAACACCATGAACAGACCATCTGTTTGGCCTGATCCCAAGGCAGCTGTCGTTCAAGTGCGGACTTTAGTCCATTCAGTCTGACGTACACCTGTCAACTAATACATGGGTCAATAACGGTAGCGGGATCTAAAAGAAGATTGAAGGTGGATCCTCGAGAAGGGTACTGCCCTCTTATTTTGCAAGAAAACAAGCAGCACGAAAAGCAGGACCTGAGCTCTCCAAATCGCAAAAAAAGAATCTTATATAGTTGCATTCAGTTACTGTGCTTTCGGCCGCACGAGGGACGGTTACCGTGTGACGCAGGGATTGCGTAACAGTGGGGCAATTCGTTCAAACGTCTGCCATTAGCATAATTTAGATAGGTGGCCAGAAGGGAGACAAATCGATAAAAGCGAATTCATTTTAATAGACGAGTGGGCGTTTCATGAGTATGGGCGCTTAGAAAAACGGAGACTCACGGGTCGAGTTAGCATTTGAAATGGCTGCCGTCGGAAGGCATTCGGGAACGTCCTCGGTCCATTCGCCGTCGACACATCTCGTTGAAGTCACTCCTTCCAATTTGAACTTGAAGATGTCATTGCACCTGAAGTACGAGAACGAGAAATGTTACGTGCACAGTATGTATAGTTAACAAGTACTTATCCTTAACTAAAACAACCTGTCACTCCATAGTGCTATTATAATAATAACGTATTTATTTGTCAGGGCTAGTAATATGTAAGGTGATCTGACTACGTTATTAAGTATAGATACGTTTCGCTTTGTGCTAAAATAAGTCACCGGTCGTCTCGAACAGCGCTCAATAAGACAATAGCAATGGACGTAAACCCTGAGACATGCGCTCTTTCTTTCCGCATCATTTTGTGACTTACATTACAATATCAGATCCAAGCGACCTAGCTGAGCGTATTTTTCTATGGGAAAGCGAGTCCCGTAACGAGTATTTCCTTTTTATTACAATCAGGCAAATTTCCTGAAATATATCTTTGGGCAATTAACTTTTTGCCCACTTGCCTAGTCTACTAGGTAGGACAAATGATCAGAGTTCATTATGATTGCTTACAACAGTAGCGCCATGGGCAGCACCTTGACAATTTCGCTTTTTTTAATTTTGTTATTTCCGTGACACTGTCGCTTTTATTCTCTGTACTAGCATCTTTACGCGCTGAGACATAACGTCTGCCTTCTCGTAGCCTTTCCTTTAGTTTCGCTCTTCTTTCACTCGTTTCGGCAGCATAACCAGTGACACTTGTTGATATCTGAATATTCTATTTCACATTGAGCGACGTACGCAGGACGCTTCTGCAGACAAGCTGCATCGACTAGATTGAGCGAAGACGCAACACTGAAACAACAACCAAATGGCCTTAAACCAGTTTCAGTTGCTTGGCCAACCGTCGCTTTCCACTATATACCGTTAGCAAATCATTTAGATCCAGCCATTGCTAGAACATATGTGGGCTTCAGCATTAGGCATTTTCCCAACGCTATTGTTTTTTGCCCCGGTTAGTACAGTTAATGCCGCTGCTGCAACGTCGGTAGTATCAAGGAGTCCTTGCCGATGGCAGCACACCCATGATGGCATGCTTCATGTTTTGAGAGTGGTCGCTGGTGTGCCCCAGGCTTTCTCTTAGTCTTCGATGAGATGATGGGCAGCTAAGGCTTTCATTGGGCTTTGTAACCGGGCGTCTTTTGCTTTTTGTGCTTTTTCCGTAGATCTTATACAACCGTAGTAGCAATAGCAGAAAGGTTGCTGCTACTTATGCTACCGCCATGGACTGCGCGTGTCTCATGAAGTGGGCTTCCTAATCCCTATAGATGTGCCACATTCAATTGCATCTATAGTACGCATCGCCAGCAGGTTTCTAAAACCTAAGTGTTCCAAGCCGCACAAATCTCACAAACAACGCAAACGTACGCATGTACATGTAGACACAAAGTTACCCAATCGGCCTCCTTCTCCAAAAAATATATATTTTCTATGTAGACGCTTGCGACGGCAGAGCTTCGGTCGGTGGAAGCTTATGGTCGTAGGCGCCAGAGAAAAGGAAGTATATGTTGACGCTGCCGTAATGGCGGCATCGAGTCGCACGAGCACAATATACGAGAGGGTAGCTGAACTCATCCTTACGCTGCAACACTCCCCCCCGCCGCCCTCCCCGGTCCCCCATGTAGTCGGTATCCTCGCAGCAGTACACTTCACAGTGCCACCGCTGCTACTTCCGCTCACAGTAAAGAACCAGGATCTTCCTCGTCTGGGAAAGAACTCCGAGGATCTCTACCAAGGACTTCTGGGAGACTGTCTGCTTCCGCAGGACAAAAGTATTTTCCCACACTCCATCGGTGTCTACTGGCGCAGCAGCGTTGTACAACGGAATGTTGCTAGTCGTTGCCTCACGACCCAGTCCCCACAGGGCGATGCGCTATAGACGCCTCACGTGCAGACGACCATGTGCTGGAGGCCCCAGAAACTTGAACTGATGGAAACAACCGAGTTGTCATCACGATTGATTTGTGCTTTCATTGCACTGTCACTATTTATTCTGCTGTTACCAGATAAAAGCTGATGCTACCGCTTGCAGCTGCGGTGTAAAGGAGTGAACGGTGTTCGAGCTCCGGTCCATACTTATTCGATGAAAACGGCGCTCCGTGAAGCGATGGAGCGGGCAAAACTAAGTTCTGCACAAGAGAGGAGCGTCATTGATATAGAAGCAGAGGAAAATGATGAGCGGCAGTACGAGTACGAGGAAGGCAGTACGAGTTTAGAGGTTTTTCCCCGCTTGAATTACACCTCTCGCACAATTATAGTAGCATTTTTCCAGGGAATGAACACAATTTCGTCTAGAGGCAACGCTAGCGTAGACTGTGATGGCATCCTGCAACAGCACAGAAATACTAGAGGCTATTGCGAGCAAAGGGGAAACGTTGATCCAGTTCCTTCAACAACAACGCCTATAGGCAGCCAGATCCGCCCTGTCAGTTCCTTCGCAGTCCCATTGTCAAACGTAGGGCAGTGCATCCGACGACTCGAATGACACGTTTCCGCGGATTCACGCAATGGGTGTCGTTGAGCGAAAGCGTTGCATTTTCTAGCAGCATAACAGGATCTAGCTTTACGTTCAAAAAGTCATATTCGAATTCAGTTAAGATTCGAGCTAGGATTTGTGGGGTTAAGTAAATAATTGTGGCTATTTTGGTTTAGAACGGAGTACCGCCGTTGTAGCATCGATCTGAGGCTGCAAAGCTACAACCAAATCACAAATGAGTCTTTCAAGCTTTGTAAGTAAGACATTGTTCCGGACGGCTGATTCCTGCTAGCACAGAACTTGCACTCGAAACTAAACCAAACTGTATCTTCAGTTTTGGTAAAAAAAAAAAACACAGTATTGCCACATCCTCGCTTAATTAGAATATTCTTGTTTACGGATTGTAGTTGTCGATAGTTATCGACACTTGTTACGTTTCGCCCTCTACGATAGTTCAAATATACTTGAATTAAAGTCTAATTCGAACTGCGAAAAATATAATTTTACCGAAATCGAAAATAATAGCGCGACAAGTAAATGAAATAAGCTAAACAATCGAAAAGGCATGAAATTAATTACACACCGTGTCGTTGACTTTATGGACGAAGATGAAAATGCTCACTCTCGTACTATAGGCAAAATTTTGTTTGCTAAAGATATTAAAATTAAAGCGACAAAACGAGAATCATAGGAATTTTATAGTTTTTAGAATACGTCCCCTAGTACCCGAAAATTTGCGCTGTAATAAAAAAGATCGGGTGAAAGTCAAGCAATTTTGATAAATTGTTGATTGGCTCTCAGTTACGTATGGCGGCAAATTTCAAATAGAATGGCGCTAGTGAGTAATAATGGGTGCATGCTGGTACGCACCTGAAATTAAGTATGGTGCCATGCTCCACCTGTATATAATCAATTCCGTTGTCGAAGGATAATGGCCGCACTTCGTCAACGAAGATGCTGAGATTTTGGCGGGTCTCGTCGTATTTAAGCTCCTGTTCATTGATGATACACGAGCGAAACAGAACTGGTGCAGGCTGTGTGTTGAAGGTGCCTATTCAGATCCAGAAAATAATCATAACAACAGAAGAAGAGTGCATAATAAGGTTAGTTATGATTTGATTCATCAGAATGTATGTGTATGTTAATTGCGAAAGAAAGACAAAAAAAAACAGAAGCAAAACTAACAATTTCAAAGATATCGATTCGCCTTGACGTGTTTGCGGCATTAAGCACAAAAACAGAATGTTACATTACGTTTCAAGCTGTGATATTGTACAAAATACGCTTCGTTCCGAATATGCGACCTCATGTCGTCAGTGAAGCAGCCAAAGAACTTAGCATACAAGATATATGTATACATATATATCTATACATATAAGATACTTAAACGTGTCCCGTATACTAAGTTTATGCAAATTACCTGAATGCGTCTTTGAATTAATTAAAGCAAGACTGTACTAATCGATAGACTTCATTTATCTACACAATACAGTACAACAGCTGCCCACATGACGAAGCCACATGATGCCCACTAACGAATTCACAGGTATAAAAACTCCATGTATTTGTTAGTCTAAATAGAACCCACCGTGTTTGTGGCCTTACAGTAATATTCAGGCTGTCTTTTTACTGTTATATCTACCTGTTACGATGCAACACCGTTACATCGCCATAGTCTGCAAATTGGATTCGGCGTAAAAGCCTCACTCAGTAGCTACGCATTTAAATTGTGAAAATCTTTTGAGACTCCCTGTTTTAGGTTGTACCATATCAGTAACAACTAATTCGTGACTATTGAACCGCTGGCTCTGCCAGCTTCCTTTGAAGTCGGTAACTGCACTGCAGATCCGCTCCGATTCCTCAAATGAACCTCGAAAATGACATGAAAAAACTCGTCAAACGTGAAGCGTGCCGAGGTAACCCTCCGTTGCTTGTCACACGCAACTACTGCTTCTCTAGCAATAGGTTCTCCAGCATCGAGAGACAGGTAGACGAGAGTAAACTCAATTGAGTTTCAAGCTTCTGCAGGGCTTGTGGGAAGCGCGTCCTTCTCAAGAGTGTGTTCGGGCTGTATAAAGAGGTTCACACAGGAAATGACAGTACAGTGCCGAAAGACAGACAGGCCAATGCGCCTCGTTCATGTTAGGCCCCCAAAGCGCTGAGGGGAACGCAACGGCAAATAAAGATAATTTCCTAACTCTAACTCGAAATCGTTCGACTCTGATAACGGCCTATAGGCTCGACAACGGTTGCCAAGACCTTACGTACTGCGGGGTTCTTGGAGTCTTGGTGTCTGAGTGTTCGATTCATTCGGCCCCTTACCTCTGGGCGACTTGCAGGGCCATTACGAGTCCCTTGTACAGAGCCATAAACTGTCCCCTTACCCTATGTGCAGGTCTTGAAGAGCGTCGCGCCTAGCAACGCTCTTTGTCATCTCGTGTGCGGCTCAACCACTTTTCCTTCGTGTGTTTGTAGTAACACCTTACCATTACAAGACAGAGCAAGATGTAAATGCGCCCACAACATGCTTCACGTCTCGCATCGAAGTTAGTGATGAACGTGTACAGCAGTGTAGTGGCTGCAGTATCGCGGTAAGAGAATTCTTCGCCGAAAACGTTCTTTTTCGGAGGCTTGCCGCAACCGCGCGAAAGGTATGGGCCCACGCTCGTCGAATATCATAGACTACATGGGAGAAGAGCAAATACAGTGAACGACATTCGGCAAGAAGAAGTGATAATGCATCCGTTCTACAAAGAGCGGCAAATTGTCAAATTGGGAGGGCTGTCGATACTGATATACGGGCTACGACAGCTCGTGTTTTTATTGTTGTTACACAAAGCACGAAACGTTGATATGGCCACGGGGCTGCTGGACAATAGCTGACGCGGTATGGAACAACGAGCAAACGGACGACGCTATATGATACAGGAGTCTAGCGATGAAGAGGTGTAGTCCAAGCATATATGCAAGTCTTTCATTTAATAAAAACGTATAGCATGATAGAATTGCAATGGTCCGTTTCTCAAGGAGGCGGGCCGTATGATAATCGAAAAAACTCGAGCAAAATCCTATGCTGCCAGGAGTAGGCTTCAGAATGGCGCATGTCAGGTTGGATCTCTTTATTTGATTTGCCGCACGCCGAAAGAAAATTCAGCGGTACTATTTTTAAGACGGTGAGCGGGGGCGATAGAAAATTGAATCAATACAAGCAGTTTGCTTGAAAAAACAATCGCATATATTTTATCTGGAGTAAGGCTGTTTCCACGCTTAACTCCGATAAATTTTACATTGAAATTAGCGTACATCTGGTCTGGACAGTGAATGTTCGCGGAGTGGTCGTTTAGAGCCCACCCGAAAGAGCTTCCGTAGAAAATGTTTCACTGGTTTGTGCCCCACTATTTTGTCTATGGGAGAATTCTTTCTTTTATGAAAAAATAAGGGACAGAAACCAAATTTAACAGCCTCTTTTAAGCTTGTCCTTTTTTTTTCTATTGCTTGTTATTTGTCATTGGACTTCGTCTTTGTTGACGTTGTGCACGTCAACATATAATCATCGTCTGCTATGATTGGTTAGCGGCTGCTTATTATTCTTGTTGTCATTTGCACAGTGTGTCCACTAATGTCATTGGACATGTTTGCTTTGTTTATTTATAAACTTAGCGCGGTATACTGAGCGTTTCGCTGACATTATACCACGTGAGTTGGGTGCTAATGATAACGACAAATCTTTCATGATGCCGTCTTCGACTTCAGGCTCCGCCAAATAGACAAACGCGTAACGGCGAGAAGCCAAACAAAAGAGCGCTAGTGTACTCAGTGATACAATTCTAATCACGGCACAGCCGGACACCCACGTTAACGGCTTACAACGGCTGCTGACCATACTTTTTGGGAGGATGACACTGTGCTTATGTGCGCCGGTACTGCCACTACGGTTCCTGCCAACAACAAATTCGACCTTCACAGCTTCACCGACTTCACCACCATCATCATTACGTCAGACAAAGTGTTGACAGAGAAACCTTCTTCGGCGCTCGCTGTTCTGTCCGGCTTCCTTCGGCTCATTTCTGCCGTTCCTTTTTGCGACGTCTGCTAGCGCTTTGCTTGCTACCGAACGTTACCTGCTATTGATCCTGCTGCTCTGCTCCTGCTTCGATAAACAAACACCGTCAACTAAACTAGGCCGATGGCGAACAGCCTGATAGCAGGACTTGCTTGACTCCCCGGACGAACTAGACGTAGGCTTTGAAGCTGTTTAGGTAGAAGATGACTGGTACGCCGACCATCTGAGTTTCGGCCGGTGGAAGTTCCGTCAGTGGTTCCTTTAGGCCCACAGAAAACACTGTTATGTATATGTATGTATACAATAGTTGTCGACAATATATTGACCGTTTTCAAGCCATATTTCTATGTTTTAAAATAATATTACTAAATAAAATATGCATCATTTTAGTCGATGACCTTTTGGCATTTTTCCGGTACCTATAGAATTTCTGCGGCTTCTGAGCGAAAAATGATTTTTGTACCTTTTCATGAAGGCTAACTTAACATCATTAAGGGAGTTCTGCAGAGACCGAGTTAGATAATGGTACAATATCAGGGTATATGGCACATCTATCAAATAATTTACGTAAGTCCTTTCAATGTTTGCCAGGTAGCTAGAGATTTGTGAGGTCTAGTTTTGGTCGATTTTTTCGGCGGTTTGGTATAATCTTGATAGTACTTAAAAGCAGATGTCCGAACGAATCGTTCTGCTAGATGTCAGCTAATTATAACGGGCGCTTCCCTACCAACCCCACCAAAACAAATCACCCCCTTTGTTGGCATCGGTCTGGATTTTGCCACGAATTATAGGACATGCGTTTTTTATTTGCGCATTATTGTTGTATGTCATCCATCTCTCATCACTCGTGACAAACCTCTTTGAAAATTTCGCTCGACTTCGTAAGGTTTCACAGACGAGTCAACGAGATCCTCTTGCGGTGTCACAAACATCTAGCTCTTTTTCAATGAAATTTCCTCATATGGTTAACAACTGTGTGGCGGTAAGTGCTTAGTTTTTCGATGGTATCGTAGCTATCGACGGATCCTGGTAAATTTTGGCGATCATTTTATCTAGTTTTTTTTGTACCACCACAAAAAGCATCTTATACACACACACACACACACATATATATATGTAGTTTTGTCTATTCATTAGTAATAGTTTATGTCTGAATTGGCGCGAAAGAAACAAACTCATAGAGGACGTCTGGCATAGTATTTTCTATTATAACTAAATGTTGGAAGCATCCTGCAGATAATTTATTAAACCATGTTTGAAGTAAATGCTTGTCATAAACACGATTCAGTGCAAAATTGCTTTCTCATTACAGTGTGCAACATGTCGTGTGCAACATGTGTTGCGCAAATGAGATTACGATTCCAGACAGCCCGCCTGTTTTTTTGCGGGGGTTCCTAGGATTGTACTTTTACGTTTATCCTTTCCGCATGAGAAGTTCCTTTCCATTGGAATTAGTGGAACTTATAATGTTGAATCACGCAGCACTCGAGTGGTACGAACAAATGATTTTTTTTTTATAATTTTGTGTTCTTGCTGTGGCCGCAAGCGCGTACGAGCACGAAATTGGTGAAACAAAGTTTGTTCACCATGTGTCCTATTGGAACGCTCCCGATTACTGGGCCATTGAATGCCCATTCTTACTCTTGCAAATGGGACACTCATTCAAGCTTACGTTTAGCGCTATATATACCTCTATGACCGCGATCACTGCCTATAAGATTCATCATTACCTTCAGCATCCAACGGTGAGGACTCTACAACCGTTAAGCTATGTATTGATATCTTCGATATATAAGTTCTTTCGAATTCGAGCAATCTGTAAATTTCTGTGTTTATCGTACTTGAGAACTTCCGTTCGTAGTTCGTGTTTTTTTATTCGTTATCTCTGATTGAGTAACACGGATAAAAAACCTGCTTCAGCAACAAATCAAATTATGATTACCTGTGATATATACTATATTCTTGCATCATCCATTCCTTTGCCGCAT